ATTTCAACACTGGTCAATGACACTCTACTTTTAAAACCTCATAATGCAGTGTAACAGGAAGAACACAGCACCAACTACGAACTACTAGGATTTGGGCAAAATCTGATCTAAACGTGATCAAACATCTAGATCTAACTACACAGTTACAGAAAAATGGGTGATCTGGGAATAAATTCTTTAACACTACAAAAAAGCAACCAGCCAAAAGCAGAATGTGGAATATTCTATGGGGCAAATAATCCTCGCTTTTCTACAAATAAATGGCACCAATTTGAGCCAATACCTGCCACCACCACCCCCAAAAAAGCAAAAAGCATGAAGGAAACAGTTATAGATTTAAAAAGCTTAAGATATCTGGCAACCAAAAGCAATGTGTAAAATCTATATAGATCCTGATTTAAATATACCAATTGAGAAACTACTTTTGAAATAGCAAGGAAGATTTGAATATAGACTGGGTAAGAATATTATAGAAGTACTGTTAGCTTTTTGTGTTGGTACAAGAGCATAGTGGTTATTGAAAAATATGTCATTTTTGGTCTTTTATATACAGAAAAAGGAAATAATTTAGAAATACTACAGGAAAAACAAGAAGAATGATTGATACATTGTTTTTAATTATAGGTAGGAATTAGACACATTGAGGTTCCTACTTTCTATCCTGTTTGAAAAGTTCCATAATAAAGTTAAAAAGTCATCAAATTTTCCTCTGGAAGGTATAGTTGTTTCTCATCAATCTAAGTTCAGAGAGGACTGATATATAACTGGGTGAAAGGTGAGGTGTAGTATAGCTAGGGAGTGGAGCTACACTTTTGGTAAAAGGCGAAAGATTTATACGCTCTGAAGAGAAACCAGAGTATGGAGCTAGACTTTTGGGATGGCTAAATAACAATCACCAAGTGGCTGGTTCTTTAGGGAGATGTTGCAGAAGGTAGAAAATATCTTTAAAAGGAAGAAATTTAAGAAGAGAAAAAAACAGAAACTTACTTCATGCAAGACTTTTAGATGTATAATACTGTATTCTTCTCCTCTGTGTGCCTCTCCTGGAAAAAGGAGAACAAAGGAAATAAAAAAGAACTGTATCAAAACATCCTCAGCCCATAAAACTATTTAGAACTACCTCCCACATCAGCTTTTGCAAGGGAGAAAGATGTCTTCCAAAAGGGACTCTCAGGGTGGAAAATTAGTGATCTTCTTCCTTCCTGTGACACATCCAAGCCTAAATCCTGATCAGAAGAACATCTTCAAGAGCCCTATTCTCTGTAAAATGACAAATAACGACTATATCCATCCAAGTGTCAGCTGGCAGAATGTTACCCCTGTCAAATAAGGGAGGAGTATAGAAGTGCAAGAGAGAGCATTAGTAGTAGCAGTAGGTGGCAGGTGATGTGGAGGTGTTCAGGAAATGTAGCTTAAAACTGTTAAGTAGATCGTATTCATATCACTATTTGCCCATCCCAAGTAGGTTTGGGTTGTGAGGTGCAGAGTAGTGCCAGTCCAGATGTTCTCTTGCTCAAACTGTGAATCTCACTTTACTATAGTCTGAGCAGTCCTATTTAATTTTACTCAATAGAATCTCCAGTGGTTCTAAAAATTTCACAAGAGGTTATATCTTGTCTTGATACTTTCAACGAAATGTTGCCTGGGCCTAGAAAAGCTGCAAAAGACCAAGAGACAGGGCCTGGATTTCCCTCAGAGTTCTGGGCCAGACACAACCCACGGTAACCAGGCTGCTGGAGTATTGTACTTCCTGGCCGTGTGTTTGTGTGTGTGTGTGTGCACTTGAGACTGTGAGAGGAGGTATTAATGGCCCATTTAGATTATGTGTGAGAGGCTGTTTGGGATGCAATGATAGTTTTGGGGGTGATACGTGATTAATCAGGCAGCAACCAAATATAAATTAAGTGAATGGTATACTGAGAATCCACTTGTAATTGTAAATATGAGTGGAGTGTGTGTGTGAGCATAATATTGTGAGGATAGCCAAAATTGTGAAGTGCTATGGTGATATCTCCTAGCATCAGTTTCCTCTTGTGTAATGCTTTGGAATATTGCTCTCCAATAGAATTAACTACAAAACTGGTTTTTTTTTTATATCTTTGCTGTGCAATAATGCAGCCTTTAGCCACATATGGCCATGGAGAACTTGAAATGTTGCTGGTTTGACTAAGGAAATGGACTTTAAATTCTGATTAATTTTTATTAGTCTAAATTTAAACAGCTAGCTGTATGTAGCATGTAGTCTTTCTATTGGAGAGTGGAACCTGAAGCATCAATTTGCCTTAAAAGATTTGAAGTGGGTAGTTGGGCTTGGTGGCACACACATGTAATCCCAGCACTCCGGGAAACTGAAGCAGGAGGATTACAAATTTAAGCCTAGTGTTGGTAACTTAGTGCATTAGTGACTGTCTCTCTCTCTCTCTCCTGGGACTTAGAACAAGCATTGTTAATTTCCTACCACTTTGTTTGAAACTCTGTATTGTTTGTATTGTTCTTTTGCTATTTTGTAAATGGTTGTCTGTTTGTTAATGTTTTCCTCCTTTTATTTTTAAAATAAAAAAATAAAAAAAAGACAAAATTTGGGACTGTAGCTCAGCGCAAAGGCCCCAAGTTAAGTCACCAATGTTGGAAAAAAAATTTGAAGGTAGTTAAAATTTGGTAAATATTTGATCTGGTAAATATTTTAAAAAATGAATTTTATAGCAAGTGAAAAGAGATGAAATACAAACCTACTCTTAGTCTTTTTAAAATTGAATAATTTATACAAAGTTGATAAATATTGCATATACATCACAATGATTATCTCCATAAGCAGCCACCAATGCAGGTCAAGATAAAGATGCCAGAATGCTTCCTTGTGTCCCATCTTACTCAAACTGACTGCCCAGCAATGACCATTGTTTAGATTTCTAGCCCCATAAATTATTAGTCTGGGATAATTTTGAACTTTGAATTGATTTGAAAGTAATCACTGTTTTTTTTTTTAGACTAGATTCTTTTCTTTATTTTAAAGAGAAAAGAACAAAAGCAAAATAACAAAAAGATAAAAACAAAACACAAAAACTATAAAAATGATACAGCATTCAAAACAAGATGATACAGGGGCTGGGAACTTAGCTCAGCGGCAAAGTATCTGCCCGGCAAGCACAAGGTCGTTATTTTGATTCCTGGTACCAGAAGAACAAAACAAGATGATAGAAAATCTACAATGGTTGTTGTATTACTTGTTATTATCTTCAGAGTAGTTGCTCAGATTGCCAGATATAGGTATGCAAGATTGAGCAAACAATTAAACATTAACTGTTCCTTTCAATAAATCAGTGGAAACTAGTAGTACAATTATCTTAGCTATGTTGTGTATGTGTATATTTCCCTTCATCTTTCTTTTCTCCTTTCCCTCATCCCAGTTGTTTTGTTGTATTGGTTTTTTGAGACAGGGTCTCACTATGTAGCTTAGGCTGGCTGTGAACTATGTAGCTTAGGACGACTTCCAACTCATGGTGATCCTCCTGGCTCAGCCACCTGGGTGCTGATATTACAGTTGTGCACCACCATGCCTGGCTTTGAATGTAATGTGATGATATGTGGCCACACTGCAAGTATTCAGTACTTCAATTTTAAGTACTCCAACATGCTAAGAGTGACTTCATATAAAACAGTGCAGGTCTAAGCCATTAATTTCCACACATAGGTATGATAATTGTTTTCTTTTATTCATTCTTGAAATGCATGAAGTGCTTACAATGGGACAGGTATTAAAATAAAGTGTTAAGAGGTGAACAAATAGTATGAACAGTCAATCTTAATGTCCTGTATACATTACACTGTATTTAAGATCCCAATGTGTAGAGCATTAGCAGCTTCCACAATTTTTTTTTTTCCAGACAGGATCTTGCTATGTAGTTCAGGCTGGCGTGGATTTAGTATATATCCCAGGCTGGCACTGAACTCATGGCAATCTTCCTGCCTCAGCCTCCCAAGTGCTGGGCCTATAGGAGTGTGTCACCACACTTGGCTCACAAATTTTTACATATAGGCATTTTTAAAAAGTCATTCACTTCAAACTGGTTACAGCTTCATAGTTAATTTTACCTTTAGAAGAACACTAAGGAAATTTTCAAATACATAATTTACAAAAGAATCACAAAACAAATAAAAACTTTGTACTGAAGACTGTCATCATTTTGCCAAACTTAAATTATTCACCTTCACTTTGCTTTTGCATGAGCATTTTAAAGGACATTCCAGGTATCATATTATCTTCTGTGTATAAACTTCAGAATTTATCTCTAACAAAGACATTTTTCACACAACTACAGTGCTATTATCCATACCTAACAAAAAGTTTCTTAGTATTACCTAATACTATCAATGTTCCCATTTCCCCAATTGTTGTAAAAATGTCTTATTTTAAATGTTCGTTCAATTCATGATCTAATTAAGAACCATCCTTTCATGGCATCTGATTGGTCTCTTGAGTTCCACCTTCCTTTTTTCAATGTGATTTTATTCACTGAGAAACCATTCCATTCATCTTGTAGAATTACTTACGTTTTAGATGTGTCATGTCATGTAATTTGTTTTTCCACTTCTTAATTTTCACTAAACTGGAGTCAGATATTCAGGCTTAAATTCAGGTTCAATACTCTGGCAAGATGTATACATTGTACTTTATAACATTACAAGGCACATAACATTTTATGCTCCTAGTTTCGTGAGGTTGAGAGTGATGTATGGGTTCAGATGTTGCTAGCCTGATCTACTTGCTCAAAGTTCAAGTTAATCTTTCACTCATGACCTTAATCTCTATGGAGAATTGTCCCTAGATACATTATTATAAAATTCTTTTTCTAGTAGACTTTTCTAATTCTGTATTTTTTTGCATTCATTTGTTGAAATTCTCTATAAAAAACTTCACCTTCACATTATCAAATTCTGGTTGCTAGTAAACACAGTTTATACAGGAAACACAAGCTAAATGATCTTCCTTTTATTTAAGTTACATTATGAATTCGCTGATGGTAAGTAAGGTGGGAATGCTGTCTAAATGCCTTCTTACACTCCTTACATTTGTATGGCTTCTCGCCAGAATGAATCCTCTGGTGCTGAATAAGTGATGAATGAAGTCTAAAGGCTTTTCCACATTCCTTACAGTCATAGGGTTTCTCACCAGTATGAATGCTCTGGTGCTGAGTAAGTTGTGAGAGCAGTCTAAATGTCTTCTCACATTCTTTACATTTATAGGGTTTCTCACCAAAATGAATGCTCTGATGTTGAGTAAGTTGTGAGAACAGCCTAAAGGCCTTCCCACATTCCTTACAGTCATAAGGTTTCTCTCCAATATGAATGCCTTGATGGGAAATAAGTTCTGAATAACGACGAAAGAATTTCTGACATTCCTTACATTCGTACGGCTTCTCACCAGTGTGGATTCGCTGGTGGAGAGTCAGATGATAGCCACGACTAAAAGTCTTCCCACATTCCTTACAATCATAGGGCTTCTCACCAGTGTGGATTCTCTGATGAAGAGTAAGTTGCTGCCGCACTCTAAAGGCCTTTCCGCACTCCTTACAATCATAGGGTTTCTCACCAGTGTGAAGTTTGTGATGGACTCGAAGGCCTGTACTACACAAGAAAGCCTGACCACATTCCTTACACTCATAGCACTTCTCAGTAATGTTAAGCCTCTGATGTCGAGTCAGGTGTGCATACTGTCTAAAGGTCTTGCCACATTCCTTACACTCATAGGGTTTCTCACCAGTATGAATCCTTTGGTGAAGACTGAGCTGTCCTCGCACTCTAAAGGCCTTCCCACATTCTTTACATACATATGGCTTCTCTCCAACATGAATTCTTTGATGTACGCGAAGGTCTGAGCTACACGTAAAAATCTTTCCACATTTTTTACACTCATAAAGTTTGTCAGATGTATGAATTCTTTGATGACGACTAAGATGGGCACACTGTCTAAAGGTTTTTCCACATTCTTTACATTCATAGGGTTTCTCACCAGTATGGATTCTCTGATGGAAAGTGAGCTGTTGGCGTACTCTAAAAGCTTTCCCACAATCTGTGCATTCATAGGGTTTTTCTCTATTCTGACTTTTCTGATATAAAGTAAGGGATGAGAGTTTTCTGTAAGTGGGTATTTTTTCAGGAGTACTTTTTGTCACTTGCCTGAAATATACCTTGTAGGGACACTCTTGTCCCTCAAACATTTCATATTCACCATCTTTTCTGAAAAAAGAGTCTTTGAGCCCACAACTTTTGACTCTTTCCATTATTTCCCACTGAGATAAATTGATTTCATAAAAATCCTTTTCTTCAAATAACTTTCTAGTGTCATACCTGGATTCCAAACCTGAAAGAAAACAAGATAAACACATGATATTCTCCTATTCTAAACAAAATAAACAAACAAATAAAACCTTTATAATCAAAAACAAAAACAACAGAAAGTAAAGCCTAGCTAACATAAATGGGTTAAAAAACTCAAATTATGTAATCTAGAAAAAAGCTAAAGGAAATACGAGATAGTGAGTGAAGAACAATTGCTTTGATGCAGATCATAGTTCGAGAATCCCTACTTAAATTTTCTAATGATTTGTCTAGTCAATCAGAATAAAATGGAAACCTTTTACCATTAATAACATGTTTACCATAGGTATAATTTAAGCCACTGTCCCCTTTGCTCCTTACTTCCTTATCACACTCACCTCCTTTCATTTCTTAGAATATGTCATGATCTTCATTTCTTAGAGCTTTGCATTAGTTATATTATCTCCCAGGAATCTGGACATTTACATGATTGGATTCCTTTCATCAATCACATATCATCTTAAAAATCAGAAAAAAAAAAAAACCTGCTGACTTCATCTAATTCATATACATTACTTTCTATCCCAGTCACTTGTTCTCTGCTTAGCAGTTTTCTCAATTTTGTTGTTACCAATGAATTTCCTCATTTATTATTATCTTTACTTTTTTGCCTTAAACTTCCTCAAAGGAAGAAACAAATCTTAACATTGAAAAAACAAACCAGTAGTATATAGAAACTGTTATTTATTAAATTCTAATAATTAGTTAACAATTACTGAATATGCTGCCCTTAACCCAGTCCTAAACCTTATCACACTGATTAAATACTCTCTTTTTATCATTTCCTAGAGAGATGGGAAACAGCACATGTAAGCTATCTCGGTGAAATGTATACATGGAAAATAGAGATTTCTTTGCACATGACTATTCTTCTAGTTGCCTCTCTACATACATGTGCAGATATCTCCACTGCAGCTCAACTCGTACTTTGTGTAATCATGACTAAACTTTGTTCCCCCTTCATAACCAAGTCACGTGATGCTCTACCTATTTATCTTGGGGTGAGTTTGTTTAACTATACACACCTCTGTCACAAATATTCACCCTATTTGTCCCTTCATTCCCTTCCTCATATCTTCCCTAAAGTCCTCATAGCCAATAGCATCTTGATGGTATTTAAGAGTATTTTAACAACATGTTTATTTATTTATTTATTTATTTGTCTTTTTGAGACAGGGTCTCACTCTGCAGTTCAGTCTGACCTTGAACTCACTTATGTAGCCCAGGCTGGCCTTGAACTCACAACAATCCTCCTGCCTCAGCCTCCTGAGTGCTGGGATTATAGGTATGTGCCACCACACCTGGCTTAGCAATAGATTTATACCATAGTAAAAGACTAGTAAAATTCTAAGCAAAGAGATGTTTTTTTCAAATGTGTATTTTCTTAAAATTTTGCAACAGGAGTTCAATACTTTTTAAAAAGAAAAAGATTTCTAAAAAATCTATAATGTAACAACGTTATTTGTAAATGACCAAACTAGAAACAATCTAAGTGCTCATCAACAGAAGAATAGCTAAGTAAATTACGGCTTAATAATACAACAGTATATAACAGTAAGAATGAACAATCTATAATACATGCAGCCATGAGAATCAATTTCACAAACATACTGGTGAGTAAACAAAGCCAGATATAAAAGAATATATACTGTATGATTCCCTTTTTATAAAGTTAAAAAAATAGTTATAAACTAATCTGTGGTGTTGCTAAGGTTAGAAGAGTAAGTAAACCATGAAACAGAGAAATGACAAGAAGGAGTCAGGGAGGGGTCAATCTCTATTTCTGAATCTATGTGTTAATTAGATGAGTATGATTACATTATGAAAATTAATTAAGCTGCACACTAATGATTTGTGTGTATGTTTATGTTTCAATAAATTTACTTTTAAAAAGATGTATCAGGCTGGGTATGGTGCTGCATGCCTATAATCCTACCCCTGGGGAAGCTGAGGCAGGAGGATCATGAGTTCAAGGTCAGCGTGGACTAAATAGTGAGTTCATGGTGAGCCTTAGTCTCAAAAAAAAAAAAGCAACAATCTCAGCACTTAAAAGGCTGAGGCAAGAGGACTGCTATGAGTTTAAGGCCAGCCTGGGCTACATAAACGAGTTTAAGGCCAGCCTGCACTACTTAGTAAGACCCTGTCTCAAAAAAAAAAACAAAAATGAAACAAAAAAGATATACTAAAAAAAAATTAAAAGGAAATAATAATTTAAACAATGTGGATAAATGTGAGCAAAGACAGGTAAATGAATGGCACAGGAAACATTGCTATGAAATCTATGGGTGTTTCTCTAGGTCTGCCTCCCCACTCAAAGAAGTAATTTAAAAATTTTAACCATTTTGTAGAATTTTGGGGAGAGAGTTCAAGTAAAGCCTTAATAGGACAGATAAGATATAAATGATATCATTTGCTAAATAACATTAGTAAATAAGCAAGCAGCTATAAAAGTACAAACATTAAGAATTAAGATGGTAAAAAAAAGCAAAGCCAACCCCCCAAAAAAACCAAAAAGAAATTAAGACAGTAATTTCAGAATTTACTTGCAAAATAAAAACTAATAATCTAAATGGAAAGTGATAGTCAAATCATAATTAAGCACTAAAATATGTGTGAGAAAAATCATTAAGAATTAAGATGGCCCTGTAATCCCAGCACTTAGGAGGCTGAGGCAGAAGGGCTGTTGAGAGTTTAAGACTTTGTAGCCTGGGCTACAAAGTGAGTTGAAGGCCAGCCTGAACTGCGTAATGAGACCCTGTCTCAAAAAGACCAAAAAAAAAAACAAACAAACAAAAAAAACAAACAAAAAAAAAAACAAACTAAGATGGTAAAAAAAGCAAAGCCAAACCCCCAAAAAACCAAAAAGAAATTAAGACAGTAATTTCAGGATTTACTTGAAAATTAAAAATTAAAAACTAATTATGTAAATGGAAAGTGATAGTCAAATTATAATTAAGCACCAAAATGTGTATTAGAAAAATCAAGAAAATATTAATGTTACAGCATAAAAGTCCATACAAATTGAGATAAGAAACATTAAACATTGGTAAACTAATGAAATAAACAAAGTGAGTAGACAAGGTCCAAAGCAAATAAAAGCATAAACAACTGTAGGACAAAAACATCCATACTCACTGATAAATCAGAGTAAATGTATCCTACTAAATCTGAAGGTTTTCATTTTTTAAAAAATCCCAGTGTTAACACAGTAAAACTGAGACTGCATGCACGCCTCCAGTTTAGGTGACAAGACAGATTATGACTGTGGCATTCTAGGCATTCTGAGCATTCTGAAGTTGGAGGTTCCTCAATAGAGTGATGGCAAACCTTTTAGAGACTGGGTACCAAACTGCAGCCCCAAACCCCCTTATTTATCAATTTATCAAAATGCAACATTGCAATTAAACCTGAATACTGAGGTTTTAGTTTAAAAAAAAACAACTCATACATTAACATCTTTTGTCTTTGTTTTCCGTACCAAGAATTGAACTCAGGACCTTGTGCTTGCCAGGCAGGTGCTGTGCCGCTGAACTAAATCCCCAGCCCAGCATCTTTTGTCTTAAAAACACAGTAACACATGTGCCATAGGTTCACTACCACTGCTCTATAGTATAAACAGCTGAGTTGAGACAGCATATATGATTCCAAATTTGATGGTGCCAGTTCACATTCCTGCAAGCACTAAAATTATTCAAGTTTAATGACAACCTTTTCTGTGGTAACTAAGTTGAATGCTTGGAGGTACTGTTATAAATGCACACTGCATTGTTGTCAGGGTAGGTATGGCTGAAAAAATAGTAAAAGACAGGAAACACAGATATTCAAGAAGGATTCTGCATTTACATAGCTTCATGAGTATCTTTACATTCCTGCTCTAAGTCAAAATAGCTTAAAGTGGAAAGGATAACATATATATCATATGTGCTCTAATCAAGATAAAATGGCCTGCATCTACACTGAAACAAAAGACCCTGCTAAACAAAAATTAACCCCTGGTAATAAATTTTACTTTTCTACCTGTTATGATACATAAACAAAATATTTAAAATTAATAAACTAAATAGTTGAGATTCTAATGAATCAAAGTGCTTTATTCTAGTTATATTACTAATGTAAAAACAATATATTAACTAACCCACCTTAGGTCAGCATAAGTTATTTTTACTTATTTCTACTTTTTTAATTTAAAAAAAATAAAAAGCAAATTATCTGGTCATAAAATCATCTTCCTGAGGTATAGTATTTCCTAAAGGAGAAAATTATTCACCACTTGTTTTGCTAATATATGATTATATGGGGCATTCTTGTGAGGCAGGAGGATTGCAAGTTCAAGGCAACTTAGTAAGACCCTATATAAAACATCAGGGGGGGGTAGAGACACAGCTCAGTATGAATGCCCTAGGTTCAACCCCCAGTATCTAAAAAAAGATACTGGATAAACAATTCAGTATTTGTGACACTGGCAGTTCTAATGACTTTAACACCGGGGTTAGGGTGTTAGTGTATCGAGACACCTGAAGTTGGGCACAGTGGCAAGTTTGAGGTCAGCCTGGGTAATTTAGTGATTAGTGAAACCCAGTCTCAAATTTAAAAAGGTCTAGAGATATTTGGGTTACATCCCCAATATGAGAGTTACAGACAGAGAGAAAGAGAGAAAGAGAGACAGAGATGGGGGGGCAATGACAGAGACAGACACAGAGAGGGAGAGACAGA